TTAGTAATATTATTTTTATTATTTTTTTTATATTTTTTGTTGAGAATTTGAAGTATTTTGGGATTGGCTTACATGGGATGAATATAGACACAAACTCGGGTTTATTCGTATTTATGTGTGTGGGTATAATATATTCTACAGAAATCACGTTCTCTCTCTCTCCCTAGTACTGAATACTGAAGAAATACTGATGATATATTTTCAGTTAAAAGACAGAAAGTCAACGAAACGAGCATCTATGCATTATCAAGTGTGTGTATGCATTAGTAACATTTTCTATGGCACGGAAAGATTAGCTGCACTGCACTCATTATATATTTCTCAATTTAATATACATTACATGCTTATTATTATTATTATTATTACAGAAAAATAAATTTAATGTTGAATAATATATATAGGAATGAAAATATAATCAATTAACACCGGCCAAGCTGACCGATATATATAACACCGGCGTGGGTGACGTCATCCACCACCACTATTTCTTTTATGCTTTTGCACGTTTGGAAGTTGGTAACAGCCAACAGGTGCAATATAACTATATATATTTCATCAATTAGTGTGTGTGTATGTATTTTTTTTTACTTCGTAATTAATATTAGTGGCGGCGGAGCAAGTATAGGGTCAGGTAGGGGGTCATAGCCCCTCCACTAATTTTTCATTATGAAAAAACTAGTTTAATTTATGTGTACTTGACGAGAGAAGCTTATCCACATTATTCATGTATATATTTAAGAGTAAACTGCAAATACTACCCCTGTGTTATCTCGAAATAGCAAAAACCCCCCTGTGATAAAAAAACTAGCAAAAACCTCCCCTGTAAAATTATTTAAATAGCAAAAACCCCCCTATGGAACTATTTGAGGGTTGACTTGATATAAAAAGACACAAATACCCCCGGAGTCTTGCAATTAATAAATTCTTATATTTTATAAATATTTTAATTATTTTATTTAAAAAATAATCAATTTAGTTGTTTACTATTTTTTTTTAATTTCTAAACAAATAAATTAAAAAGAATAAATATACATATAATATGTATATATATAAATACATTTTGAGGGACAATTTTGTCATTTCAAGTCTAAAAAATCAGCTAGGGGGGATTTTGCCTTTGACTAAATTTCACAGGGGGGTTTTTGCTAGTTTATTTATCACAGGGGGGTTTTTGCTATTTCGAGATAACACAGGGGTAGTATTTGCAGTTTACTCATATATTTAAATGTCCAAATTCGGTAGAATTTAGCCTTCAACAAATTTGACTTTATTTAATTTAATTTTGGTGATTATTATTTTGGAGCTAACGTAACAACCACCACCAAATTATATATGATCAGGGGAAGTGCATTTGCACCTTAATTAGGACATCCTTATATATATATATTTAGTTGTTGCTACACAATATTTTACTACATCATACATTATCCCCTCATCAATTTATTATTATTCTATTATTCTATTTCTGTTGCAAGAAAATTAATTGTTCTACTTTTCCCTCTCTTCTATCATTTTACCAGTAACCAACTTACCAACTCAAATTATTCATTCAGTTAACATATATTAACAAAATAAAAAATAAAAAAATAAATGTGCATTCACAACACTCTGCATTATGCCCATTTCTTGATTTTTATTTTTTATTTTTTATTTTTATTTTTATTTTTTTAACGGTAGCTTGTTGAGCATGATTTCCGATTACGACCTCCTCAAACTCCCACAAACATAGCTGATAAAGACATCTTCCTAAACAATAATGCATCATTCAATTATCACACATATATATATATATATATATATATATATATATATATATATATATATATATATACACAACAATCAGCATCATCAATATATTAGAAGTACATCATCCCTTTCAGAACTAATAATCATAAAAAATGTCATTGAATGGCGGTGACGTCCTCACCACCCTCACTTTTGGGAAAAAAAAAAAGATAATTCATTTATTTTTTGCAAGGGCTCTTTTATTGGAAAAATTGCACTTTTGCCCCTTATATATTTTAAGAAATTTCTTGTGAACCCTTTTTTGGTTTTTACACTCCTACAAGTATACTTTCCTTATAAAAATATGTCTTAAAAAAATATGCGTCGCAACAAAGCACTGATTTTATCATATTTTTACTAGATGATTGACTGACTTCAATTTACAGAAGTGTCAAAATGTGAACATGCCATGGATTGTAATGCAATTTGCAAAAAGTTTTGAGGATAATTTCGTGTAAAATACACTAATATAGTTGCATTTCTACAAATATACGTAATCACATGGGGGCCATGGGGCAAATACAGAAAAAATAAAAATAAAATAAAAAAAAGCATAGAAATTTTCTCCATGTGGGACCCTTATTTTCCCTAATAAGATTTTGTAGCTAGCAAACCATAATTAATAATTCAAAGTTGCCAAAATCTTGTTATTAGAATAAGCTTTTTACAAGGTAAGATAATCACAATTGTGTTTCTTTGAATAAAATAAAGAAATCCTATATATATAATTGGATATATATTATGTTATACTTATAATACATATAAATATCAACCAAAAGTCAAGATTATTGCAAGAAATCATTAAATTCCAAGGCAATAATAATGGAGATTAATGATGATGATCATGTGTCAAGAAGGTGGTTTAATGTTGAATCTGTGCCAAAGAGTCATGTTTTTTCCGATGAAGATAGACCTGGGAATCAACAAATCCCTCTCTGTAATACAATCCCAATCATTGATCTTGAAAACAATTCATCCAACTTATCTGAAACAATCATTCAAGCATGCCAAGAATATGGCTTTTTCCAGGTAATCATATATATATACATACATACATACATATATATTAAAGTTATAATTAAGGTTTGTAATAAATGTTAATAATAATTAATTTAACAGGTGATTAATCATGGGGTTTCTGAGGATGTAATAAGTGAAGCAATGAAAGTTATGGAGGAGATATTCAACATGCCTGTGGAGGAAATCAAGAAAGAGGTGTCTAATTATTCAAGTGGTTGGGTTTATATGGGAAGTACAAGTTTTGCAGCCAAAGGTGCTCATTTGTGGCGAGACAATCTTAAGCATCCATGCCACCCTCTTGACGAATGCATGCATCGTTGGCCCCGAAACCCGCCCCGCTATAGGTATATTATATTCATTCATTCATTCATACATTTTCAATTATCGGATCGGACTAAATCGTATTCAATCGAACGCTTATATTGATTTTTTTTAGAATTTTCAACGTATCGCGATCCGACAAAGGGCAAAATGGTAATTTGACAGCAATTCTTTAGACATCCGTTGAGTTTGGATTCAAGACAGATATTAGTTGAAGCAAAATTACCAAGAATTTTAGCATTATGAGTTATGACATCGCATAGGCCCTCAAAAGTTGGTCCGATTGCTATTTTTGAAAATATGCTTCAAATTTTAATATCTTTTTGTAGTAAATTAAGATTTTAATTCCATAAACCGGGTTTTTCTTAGGATTTCAAGTTCTATTAGCTCCAACTTTTTGATATTTTTTCTATTTTAATTAGATTTTTTAGTACATTTTGATTAATAAATCCAAAATTAATGAAACACTAATAAATGTTGTTTTTTTTGGTGTAGGGATGTTGTGGGAGCATACATAAAGGAAATAAGAAGATTGAGTTTAGTAATCCTGGAGCTGATTAGTGAAGGATTGGGATTAGAGGAAGGATACCTAGGAGGGATAAGCCAAGTCCAATTTCTTACGGCGAGTAATTATCCGGTTTGCCCGGATCCAACTCTCACACTAGGATTACTTAATCACTTTGATCATAGCCTAATCACAATTTTGTACCAAGGAAATGTTGAAGGCCTTCAATTTCTCAAAGATGGCAAGTGGATTGGAGTTGAGGCTATCCCTAATGCATTTCTTGTCAACATTGGCACCCAAATTGAGGTAATTTTTAATAATGTTATTCCAAAGTTGATAAAATTTACGAAATTCCGTCTCGGTTCGAACAATCAATCGTCTCTCGGGTGAAAATAGTTTCTTGAAGTTTGGAATCTTTTGTATGTTTTGTGCAGATTATAAGCAATGGGAAGCTGAGAAGTGCAGCTCATAGGGTGGTGACAAATCAAGAAGCAGCAAGAACAACAATTGCTACATTTATCAATCCTAGCCCGGATTGCATAATCCAACCAGCAAAACTTCTGATTGATGAAGATAATCCTCCAATCTATCAACCCTTATCCTTCAGGGATTTTGTTAATGTTTCCAAACCTTTTGGACCTTTTACTGATGCACTTCAAAATGGTGTCTGTACCTTAAAAAAGTAATTAATAAATGGACAATTTTCATTGGTTATTTTCCCAGTTTATGTGCTGACCTCTGTTGGCACTAATCCTATAATGTTTTTTTTTTTTATTTGACAAATAGTTTTATTAAATAAAAAATACATTGGGCTGATATATGATAGAAATCAGCTGATCAAAATTATGTACAAAGTTAATGGGCTTTAGCACTACCCATTTTCATTAATTTTATGATCCACGGTCTAGTCTAACCAATTGGTGGTATAAGCCCAAATACATAATTATGAACCGAAAGTCCAATAAATATTTACTATGTAGGGGGTATATTTATAAACATTAAAGTATAGGGGGTATATTTATATATATATATATATATATGTTTTTGTTTATATATAAATTATTTTTCTATATTTTCATAAAAATATATTCATATAAATTATACAATTAACTATCAATTTGCAGTTGATCACTATTATGAAGATAATTAGGGAAACAACAAAAAAATTTGAAAATTTGCTATTGAAACATGTTTCTAACTTTCTATAAATTGCAAAATAGTCCGTAAAGTGTCTCGCAGGTGTCTTTAAGTTTCCGCCACGAAACGTTTCCGAACACGAAAAGTTATTTACAACTTCAAAACTTATTTATGCAATAAATATTTACAAGTCCAAGTTTTTTACAAAAATAAACAATTTAACACATGGTCGGCTAATACACCAATTAGCCATCAGAATCTTCAATTTATCAGGATTCTTTTATTGAAAAATAAAAAATAAATAAAAAGTGACGTCAGCCAATGATGCCAAAAAAACGTCATCATGATGACATCAGCAGACTAAACAGTAAACACATCTGAAGTTGAAAAACTGTACATCAAGATTCGTTAACTTTCCCAATTGGGGTCCCTTTCGATCTGCCTACGTTTTCCGGAATTTCTTTTATTTCTTAAATAATTCAATCACCCAAATCAACAATATTATTTAAATAATAATAATCTCACAGTCCAAATAAAATATTAATTAATTAATTACCCATTAATGCGTTCTTGTACTAGATTACTTAGGCCATCATCAACCCCATCTGCTGGATTATATTTTCTCAGGACCACATTTACAATTTGACCATTTTAATTAATCCAGTTTTTATATATATTATGTATATATATAATACGTGTATATACGTCAATTCTTGGCATAGTTTTTCGATCACTGTGTGTGTTTTTGAGTGAACAGAGATATAGAGAGAGAGAGAGAAAAAAAATAGAGATGGAAGGAAATTCCAAAGACAGAGCAGCAGCAGCTAAAGAAGACAAAGATGGCGGCGGCGGCGGCGGCGGAGAAGGAGTGAAATTCCGGGGAGTGAGGCGGCGGCCGTGGGGGAAATTCGCGGCGGAGATTAGGGATTGCAATAACCACGGGGCGAGAGTGTGGCTGGGGACGTTCGCCACGGCGGAGGAGGCGGCGCGAGCTTATGACCTGGCGGCGTACACCATGAGGGGGTCCATGGCTGTACTTAATTTCCCGGAAGAATATTCCTTCTTCACCAATACTAGTAATAATTGTCATTCATCCACAACGACGACGTCAGCATTATCCACGTCAGCATTATCCACGTCAGCATCATCCTCGTCAGAACAGAGGAAGGAGGTTTTCGAGTTCGAGTACTATGATAACAAGCTGTTGGAAGACCTTCTTGAATTTGGAGAGAAAAGAAATCACTATGCTTCTGCTTTTCACTGGAAATAAATAAATTAATACTCTGTTTTTTTTTTTTTTTTTTTTTACTTTTGATTTTGGGATAATGATATTATATACTGCAGTTTTTTTTTTATTTTTTTTTTGAATTTTTTTTTTTTCGATTTGTAAAGCTATGGAAAATAATGTACTTTTCTTGCAAGTTAATCATAAGATTTTGTACTTCGATCTGCCAATGTTTATTGACTAGTTTTCTGAGTTTCTTGATTGCGTATTATGCATGTTGATGTCGAGCTTGACTAACCAAAAGTCAACTCATAAAGTCTTCCTCACCCGGGAAAAAATGGTTGACTTAATAAAAATGTAACTAATACTGTGACGAACTGCTTACGTCATTTCCCCTCTGTGCAATTTCATTTGTAGTTTAAAAACAAATAACTTTAATATAATTAACAGACCTCGATCATTGTTACGTCACACCTACCAAAGTACGTACCTCACACTGTCGTCACTGTAAATTATTATTAGATCGTCATTATGCATACGATTAGTTGCTAATGATGTAAATATCATGACATCACTGATGACTAATAAAGATTAACTAATTACCACAAGACTTTGTCAATTTAATGAATTAAGTAAGTACTAATTAACTTAATTGCTAATGATTTATTGATGACGCACATGCCATTACGTTGCTTATTACATCAGCTGTATTATGACAACTTTCGTAAATCTTGGCAGTGTATGCAAATTAAATTAAAATAGTTGAAATTGAGATTGTGAGTAAATATTAAAATACTGTATTTAAAAATAAATCTGTTTTAATCAAGTGCAGGGTTTGTCAACAAACTTCAATTTTCAATTTATTTACATAAAATCAATTAATTAAATGTCCCAATAAAGTGAATTAGATCAAATTGATAATAAAAGAATTCTGAGTGGGATTTGTTTATATATTCCCATCAACTTAATTCAATAAATTAAGTATCATTAAAAGGGTACAACAAATTAAAGCAGGGATTGTTTGAACATTTAATAATTCTTAATCTTACCAAAACCGTATCTTATATTTAATAATTCAAAATCAGCATATGACTACGTGAATGATGCATGAATGTGATGATTCAACGTGACGTATCGAAACGTGACGTCATCTTCTTGTTTGTATATTATTTATTTTATTATTAATTATTATCATATTTTTATTGATGAATCAGAGTTTTTTCACTTATTTGACAAGTTTAGTGGTTAATAATTGTTTGTACTTGCACACTGGTTTTTCGTTGTATGATTCATCTGTTACAATAAAAACAAATGAAAATGTTTGAAATTTTATAGAATATTAAAGAAAAAAACAAGAAAATAATTTCAAATTTGAGGTGTTTGTTGTTGACTTTCAATGGTACGTCAAGTTTGAAAAGAAAATCAAAATTTTGAAAGTGGTAATACTTCAAAACGGGACCAAAATATTATTACGGATTGATGATCTCTGCCACGTGGAGCTTGATAATGGGACGTTTTCTAATTATTTAATCTAATTACAAATTAACAGAAATATAAATTAATCCAAAAAAAAAATCCACGTAAACGTAAACGTAGAGTGTTATTTCTACACTTCAGTACTGTATCTTTTGTAGCTAGTGTTTTTGCTGTTGTTTGGTTATGCGTATTAAAGTCCTAGTGTTTAAAAACCCGAAATAGAAGACTAGGACTTTAATATGCATAACCAAACAACATCAAAAACACTAGATACAAAACATACAGTGGAGTGTAGAAATAACACTCTACGTTTACGTGGATTTTTTTTTTTGGATTAATTTATATATATTAAAATTACTCGATACTTTTAATAAACCTATATATATATATATGATCAGCAATCAGCATAGATGACTATATGTGAATGATGCATGAATCTGATGAGCTAGCGTGACGTAGGAAGGTGTGATGTCACCAACCCACACGTAATTATTGAATAGTAAAGCCCATAATTAAATATTACTACAGTAGAAACCATATATAGTACAAGTTGTAAAATTTAATTATCCTTTTTCCTAAGTTGTAGACAAATAAAAATAATATAATAATTATCTGCTGGCCTCTAATTTTTATTTATTATTATCATTATTATGTGACACAGGTTAAGATGAATCAAGACATTCCAAATCGCCCTATATTCAGCTAATCATCAGGTCATTTTCTCTTAAGAAACAAAATATATATAAGGTAATTAAAAAGAATATTACTATAATTACGTAAGGATTACGTTGCTATTGATGATTAATTGATGACATGAATAATGATTAATTAAGGATATTGAAGCACGCCCACCACCAACAACCCACTTCTACTTTTTACCTTAATGCATGCATGTACTTACAATAGCACACTTGTTTAATTTGAATACTTTCATTTTATTTTTATTATTTATTTGTCTAAATTATTATATTCCGAGCACATTATTAACTGTATTATCGTCTGAACTACGTCGATCAATTACGTAATTAAGAATGTAACACCTGAAGTAGGGATTCTGATGTGATGATGATCAAAGCTACCTCATGATGTATAAATATACCACTTATAATAAAATTCACTAGTAATTATATGATAATAACCATATTACGAGCGAGTTGATATTACAAACGATTCTTTTTCTTGCGTACCATCTGTTATTGTGCCAGATAGTAAATATTGAATTTATTTTTACGTAATTTCGTCAATACCCGAGTGAACTTATATATGCATAACCAAATGAGGAAATTAAACAGCTTGGATAGGTTTGATTTTCTTTAATTAGCAATTTTAGATTAAAAAAAAGGGGCCTTATGATATAGGTCTCTGATAACAAAACTTATTAGAACTAAATGATAAGTCTAATAAAACATTTGCTTCACATCTTTTATAAATCTTATCTAAAAAATGCCCTCCATACACAAAATATGAAATTTGCATCAAATAATATTTAAACTGCGTTTATCATTTTTTATTATGCATTTAACATTTCATTTTGCATCGAACATTTTTTTTTTTGACGTAGAACACATTACTCTTTTTTATTTTATTATTCATTTTCGTATTTTTTTCAGTATTTTAGGAATCTATTTTTTCCATTCTTTTCTACGTAATATTAAAAATTATGAATTTAAAAAAAAAATCGGTCTCAGTCATGTATAGACACCCATAAGAAACTGTAGTAATCCATAGTAACCCGTAGTAATCCATAGACATCTCCGATAGCATATTCTTGAAACCCTAGCATCTCCTTTTAACCCTAGCCGCCACACACCCATAGTAACCCATAGACATCAAATCGAAAAATCTTAGATCCATCCCACCAAACCCTAGATCCACCCACCAAACCCTAGATCCGTGACGCCAAAGACCACCCACCCCCATCCACGCCACTAAGGATATACCACCCACCCCACCCACGCCGTCATCACCTTCGCCCAACATCACCGGACCACCAACACCATTCTCGAAACTCCGAGCACCGCCGCTGGCCAGCATCACCCTCGAACTTTGAGCGCCGCCGACCACAACGGCTCATCCCATCGTTGTCGCTTTCTTACCTTGATAACTACCTTTCCCATGCCGCCGCCTCCACCGCTATGGTCGTCGCCATAGCCACCACCTTCTTCAATCACGGAGTGGTGCGAGAGAGAGTGAAATTGAGTGAAAGAGAGCCAGAGAAAGCGAGAAGAAGAAGAAGAATAGATCTGACGGAGAAACGTAAATAATTAATTTATAAGATTGAGGGTATAAGGGTAAGATAGGGGTTGTTTTTTATATAGGGATGTGAGGCATATATTATTTCAAATTATGGATTTAATTAAAAAAATGGATTTAAACTTGTCATTTAGTTCAAATTATGTTTTGTTTGAAGGGCTCATAGCATATTAACCCTAAAAAAAACATTAAACTAAAAAAAAACTCTGAATCACAGGGCATGCCCTGAATTAATGGACTAGCCAATTATATACTTATGAACCTCAGTAGTCATCATGATAAACATTAATTAGCAGCCAATTAAATTTAATTTGCACCCCCACAAAGTTAGTATATACAATGTATACATATACATATATACAGATATATATATAGATACACATACATATTAATTCCATTCTTACTAGCTAGTGGTGTGCAAGATGATTTAGTCGATCAATAGCTAGGCTAGACAATCTGCTCAATCGATCATGTCTCTTTCAGTCGATCTCAATGTTCGGGCAACAACAACCTATTCCAAAATTTTCGATCAACTGTCCAATTTGATAATCTCCCAAATTTATCAATTTCAAATGATTCTGCATTACCAATATATATATTGTATTGTTCAGAAATTAAACCTGAAACTAAACTTCTACAAAACAAATAAACATGTATTCCCTGCTGCATTCCATTTTATCATGAGTAGATATAAAATGCCATTATTTTTGCAAGAGATGATTGATTTGAAAGGAATTAATTAAAACAGGCCATTATAAATAATGGTACGTAACGTACTCTTAAGAAGAAATAATTAGGGTGTTACATATATAAATAATTAAATAAGAACAAAGAACAAACAAAAATGAAGAAATTAAACTACCAATTATTATCTGATGATCTCTTGTAATTACAATCATCTTCCTGAAATTGTGTCGAAAGAAGATCGTCAAGCAACTTATTATCATAATACTCCAACTCAATTACTTCCTCCCCGGCCCCCCTCGACGGCCCCACCTCCTCTCCGGCGTACTCCGGCGACGGTTCATATCGAAGCGCCGCCTGAGGTGGCCGCCCCCGAGTATTCGCAATACTGCCACTCGGCGCCAGGCGGCTGCTGCTCTCTGCTGGCGTATTCCGGTAATGGCCGTCGTTGGGGAAATTGAGAATCGCCTGATGACCCCTCAGAGCATACGCCGCCCTGTCGTAAGCCCTAGCCGCCTCCTCCGCCGTCTCGAACGTGCCCAGCCACAGCCGCGCGCCGTTTCGGTTGGGGTCCCGTATCTCGGCGGCGAATTTACCCCACGGCCGCCGGCGAATGCCCCGGTATTTCACTTCTCTTTGCCCGCCGCCGCCGCCGCCTTTGGATGCTTCCATTAATAATTAATAATTATATATACTTTGATTTGTTTGTCCAGATATAGCGTCCGAAATTGATTTGTAATTATGGGATTATATATATATATATAGGTTGCTGTAAGGAGGAAAGTCAATATTTGATTTTTCGGTCAAACGCGACGGTGTTGACTCTGACCAAATATGTAGGGATCATGTCCTAGACATGGAATATTGTCAATTTAGGTTTAACATTTAAAAATATTATAAGCCCTAATAATTGTTACTCTTCTAATTGGAATATGTCCTTATGAAGAAATAATCAAAGCATAAAACACTAAAAATAAAAAAAAATGTATTAGTGATTTATTAGAAAATAGTTGAGTTGAAATTTTCTAAAATCCGAAAATTTACTAGGCGAGTTGTCTATTTCAGTAAGACGAAATTTCAAGTCTACGATACGCCATATTGTGCTTACGGCTTGTCGGAAATCGTCTCCCAAGAAAGGGTGGGTAGTGTGATTATTTGCAGACAGCAGCCCCAATTGTGGTCGTGAAAAATAGGCTGTTGATTAATTAACGAAGGCAAAGCGATTTTGATTCTAACTACTATACCTTTTTTGTTTATATATATATATATATATATATATATATATATATATATATATATATATATATATATTATTACATTCATGAACCTAATGTTCTTATAACGAATTGTTTTGGATTAATTTATATTTTTGCTGACTAATTAATTCATCAGCTAGTTAGTAAGATGTTTGGTTTAATTTCTCGTTGTCTGATTTCGGCGAAGTCCAAATCACGAACATTATTGTAGTCATTTTAGTTAGTTCTCTAATCCAATATGAATCAATTACATTGAATGTTGTAGGGCGATAAAATTATGCATGAATTAATTGTATTTCGAATTTTAGATGATTCAAATCATCAAAGTTGTAGTCGGTGTCATGACATCCAATCTTGTTGATTCAAGTTTGATTCAAAAGCTACCTCGAAAAACTACAGAGTTCGTGTTTTGCATTTTGCCTAACGCAGCATAAGAAATGGTCAAAATCACGTTTGAAGTTAAAACAATATTTAATTCATCACATCCCTTTAATTATTTATAGGCCCTTGCTAGGACTTTTTGTTGTGGACTAAGGCCTACACTGGCCTCTTTAATTTTGTAAGGCCCTATGGGTTTCTTTGGTCCTAAGGCCCATAATTAAGTTAAAAAACGATTATAACTTATAATTAAAAGATTTTTTTTTTTAATATTTTTTTTAATTTTTATTTCTTATAGTGCTAGTGTGCAACGATTCATCCCCCCTTTCTGCAGGTGTTCACTGTCAGTAACAAATTTGAGATTTGGACACGTCAGCTTAAAATCCAATTAATAATTATTATATTATTTATATAGTACTTTTAGTATTAATTAGATGTTAAATGTTAGTTTAAATCATCAAATGCTAATGGTTATCTATGAAATCACTCAAATAAATTTAATAAACTTAGCACAAATTATTTATCTGCTTTAGAATATGAATAATGCAAATTTATTTTTATTTTTATTTTACCCTAATCCTCTCTTTTTAAATTTTATCTATACAAATTAATGTTTAGTTTTTAATTTCACATACAAATATTAATCTAATGGAGGGATGTGGACCACACATTCTGGTCAACTTTGGGTCCATAAAATGATTGATATATCAAAATTAAAACAACTATTGTTTTTTACTACAAAACAGACCATAATTTATTTAAAACAAATGACCACGTACGATGAATCTGCTGTAATAATTTGTTTTTTGCTTAATTTCAAAAAGAAAGGGGGAAAATATAAAAAAAAAAAAAAAAAAAAAAAAAAAAATTGAAAGAATTTTCTTTGTTTAGTTGACAAATTGTGGGAACCACACTCCTCAAGACAACTAACCCATTTCCCAATTAACTTATTTCACTTTTCATGATATCAATAAAAACTTGATTCAAATATGCATCCAAATTAATTTTATATATTATTATTTTTAATTTAATTTAATTTTATTTTATTTAGATAAATTCTATTAAAAAATAGTAAAGAAATATGGATGGGATGGTCTAGCCCATTGAGTGCAATTACTTGGCCCAACTTGAGTGCACTATTAATGAAAATATATTTTTTAGGGCTTAGCTCATAATCCATTTTTCTTCTTTTTCTTATTATTTTATTGAAAATGAAAATTCATTTGTCTATATCTCTAATAATTATAGGATGCTTTAAAAAGAAATAAGCAAGATATTAATAATTTAAAGTTATTGAAGAAAAAAAAAAATAAAAAAAGTAGAGGGTAGCATTTTATTTAAGAATTGCCAGCATATGGGCCGAGGCTAATAATACTACGTCGCAGCCACTACACGACAAAACTCACTATCTACGTCACTATAGACGTAAGCTAATCTAACTAGTGACGTAACAGTATCCTTTTGTACCACAGGCCGTGGGCCCCACCTGTTTCTCAATATCCTATTTATTTATTTTCTTAACTAATTAATGTAACCTCAATTCTTTTAAGCTCGGAAAAAAAAACATATTATATTAATTCATCCATTAAAACAATAATGAAACCAGCATTGAAATAAGTGGTAATTTTTTTTTTAATGATTGTTGTATCAATGATTAAATTATTTTTTATTTTTTGTTAATTTTGGTGTAGGAATGGCACAATTTCAGGTTTAATTATCCTAAAGATTTTGAAACGACCCAAGGAAGCACAATGCAAGTGGCCCCATGAAAATGAAATTTCTTGTCTGAAAATTGCAACTTGCCCATAAATAAAATAATAGTAATAATAAAATGTCATGTTATGACCTCCAAAAAGGACCAATATAAATCATAATTGTAATTCAATTATTTGATTTGGAGTGCACATAATTAAATGTAGTAGATATTCGTACAACAACTTGTTATCTTATCAGGACTTTCAACAAGTATTTAGGACCATGACTATTTTCACAACAATAAATAAAATAAAAATAATCCAGGGCCTGAATCTGGCCATTTTATTATTTTCTCGTATATATTTATTTCAAACAAAAGAATATTCGAAACCATACGAGAGATGTAAACCACACTAGGCTAACCATGTGTGACAAGCTCGACCTAGCGACCGTTGGCAAGGGGATTCGAACTTGGGTCAATTGACCCAAGCTCCCTTGCTCCAACCGCTAGGCCACCCTTGCGGGTGACTGATGCAGCTTTGGACTCATGCTAAATGTAATACTACATGTTTTTTTTAACGCTTATTTTATTTGATTTTTCAAATTAAATAAATACAAAAAATCATTTTAATTAACTTAACGGTAACGGTAACGTAAAAAGGAAGAAGAACGAATACTTCGGAGGTCATTTTCAAATTTTCATAGTCTTAATTTATGTTTGACTTGACTGCCTTCAAAAGTTTATTCAAAATTAAATAAAAATATTCAGATATCACAGGAGTTATACTATTTATCCACCAGAATCATTAATTGCTGAGCTGAATTTTCAAATTAGAATAGAGAAACTTGTGAATTTCCAACCTAAATAAATTAAATTAAATTAAATAAATAAAATCTAATAATTCACTGATAAATAATTATGAGTGTAAAGGCGTAGTAAAGTGAAAATAATATTAATTTTAAATTTTGTCAATATAGTTTTCCATGTAAGTTTAGATTTAAAATATTTTTTATCATACAAATCTTATTTTAAATTTCAATAACTAACTTTATGGAGTACTGTAAGTGTAACATTGGAAATTACGGTGGGACCCTCCGCCGCCGTGCGTCATCGTTCTTGTTTGACTCACGTGTCATAAATTGAAACTAAATAAAATCATAAAATTCCAGTACAAAGAACTCAGTATTAACAACTCCCAAAAACATCCCCTCTTTCCCTCTAATTTTCACCTTTCACTATCTACTGTAATAATTAATTAAATCCCCAAACAAATATATATTATTTATTTGTTTAAAAATTAATATAAAATAAAATAAAATATTCCACTAAAAGATCCCTTTTTTTCTCCGGGTATATAATGGCCCCCAGAGTTGAAATTTAAAGTAATGCAAAACCTGCAAAAATCAAAAATCAAAACTCAACTCTCAAAAAACAATGGACTCTTTTTTCTTCAATTTCCAAGATCAAGAATATCCATTCTATAACGATTACACTAACACCCCGGAATCGGAATTCCATTCCAATGATGGTGGTATTCCCAATTCCTGGGAATACGATTCCCTTTCCGGCCTCCCTTTCAACTTCAACGATTCCCAAGAAATGCTTCTCTACGGTGTTTTAGCACAAGTACAAGAAACCACCACCACCAACTCCAACTCCAACAACTCAAACTCCAGCTCTTCAGTCATGAAGGAAGAAGAGGTCAGCTCCTCCGCGGCAAAAATGGCGGCGGAGGAGAAGAGGGAGAAGCCCTACAGGGGAGTGAGACGGCGGCCGTGGGGGAAGTTCGCGGCGGAGATAAGGGACTCCACCAGGAACGGTGTCAGGGTCTGGCTGGGCACCTTCGACAGCGCGGAGGCAGCCGCCTTGGCGTACGATCAGGCGGCGTTCGCCATGAGGGGTTGCGCGGCGGTGCTGAATTTTCCGGTGGAGAGAGTGAGGGAGTCTCTGCGGGAAATGAAGTGCGGGATTGAAGAGGGGTGTTCGCCGGTGATTGCTCTCAAGATGAGGCATTCCATGAGGAAGAAGAAGAAATCAGGGGCCAAAAAAAGTATTACCAAGAGTTTAGGGGGTGGTAGTGATATTAACAACAAAATGGAAAATGTGGTGGTTTTTGAGGATTTGGGAGTTGAATATTTGGAAGAACTATTGAGTTGTTCATCATCTATAACATCACAAAGTTGGTGAATTATTAATTAATTAATTAATTATTATCCCTTATTTTTCTTTATTTCTTCTATATTTTTCTTGGTTAAAGGAAAAAAAAACAAGGAATTTTCCTCGAGATAAATAGATTGTTGGTACAAGAGTTTCGTGATGCAATATGTAGATATATTAAAGAAATTCAAATTCTGTTACAGATGAAAAAAATATACCAAAAAGAGTAAGAACTTGAAGTTTGATCCTTGATGAATTAATATGGTCCAACAATAATGGATGGATGGAGATTTTGGTCATAGTTAAATTTCTCGAATGGAAGTGACATCCTATCCAAAAATCATGTCTCAATGTGGGGTTTTGGCTCATCTTCAAAGATGCAACAGTTTTATTTTCTTTTTTTTCGTTAAAGTTGAAAACGACCGAATACAGAAAAGTCGGCACCGATTTGATGTATTAGATGGTGTGATTATGTATAGATTTACGGTTCAAATTCATCCAATGTAAATAATTAGATATAAAATCTACTTTTCCTTGTATTAGTGGTGTGAGCACCATGTTTATAAAGTTTACTATTTTGGGAAAGTTTACCATGTCTATTTTGCAATTTCAGTTGAGTATATTTTTGGCTATAATAAACATGAGACTCTTCTAATCTGCCAACTAGACTTCCACAAAAATTGGGGCATGTCATGTAATCGTGATTCAAGCCAACTAACCAATTGATTCTGTCCACGTGGCACAAACTAATAAATCTGATTTTGTAATTACTCATTTCGGTAAAAACAAATATACATCCACTAAAATCCGTCTTATTCAATTTAAAGAAAACTATAACCAGACATGCAATATATAGATGTTACACCAAAAATCTTAATAAACAGGAATTGTACATAGTATTCACTGCAATAATTAACCAAGACTAGAGGAAAAACGAACCCTCGTATTAAAAAAGTCGAAAAAGAAAAGAAGCAATTATCATTTGTTTAAACAAACCTAGTCGCACTTGCTCTCACCGTCAATCCACTTCAGTGATGGCATTAACTTAAACAAGAACGATCTCAACCGATCGTCTACAATTGCGTTTCCCATAATCTCTAATTGTATCAAATTCAGGTCATCGAAAATTAGATAAGCATCCCAGTGATCCTTCAATGTGACATCGTCACTGGCAAATTTATCGAAATGCCATTCACTTACAAGTGCATGATTCAGAGGAGAAGAGCACAGATATCTTCTTGTGTCGATAGAGTGAGCACCGATCTCGTTATTTGATATATCTAATACTTGTAAGGATTTGAGCTTCTTCAACGGCTCCAGTGCAGTAAAACTGCAGATTTTGTTGTTACTCAGGTTCAAGCAGGAGAGTAGTTGAAGAGTCTCCAATCCTGTCGCCAGACGCGAGTGGAAATTGAAAACTTATTATTCCGGTTTTTTTTTTCATCCATAATAATAATAGTGATAATAATAAAAAGCCAATGAGCATGAAAAGATATTGTGTGTTAACTACCTTCAATTGATCGGAGTTTGTTGTGGCTGAGGTCTAACATTTGAACCCATAATAAGTGCTCCATACTCCCGATTCGTGACAGTGAGAGACCATTTAGTCGTACACACAAAGAAGGATTCATGCTTGGTGATGAAGACGTTTCTTGGTATTGATAACAGTGCTTCAACAAAGAGACTAAATTTGAAGTCGCCTGCAGAACAATCACCAAGTCAATTCATGCAGAAAATATAAGTAATGTGTTAATGAAAGAAACTACGCTATTGCACACAATTTTCTCACTCATAAATACTTGAAAGAGATTATAGATTGACTATGCAATAAGTAGCTAACATACATGAAATGCAACATTTTATCCATATATAAGATAACTAATATGCTTCGGCCAAGAAAAAGGGAGATTCACCTGCTTCCATAACGCTAAACTGTACTCATCCTCGTAGTAACAAATATGTACAGGATCCATCTTCATTAAATCACGATAGAGTGCAAGAATATCTTCATAATGGACCTCAGTTCCATCATCCGTGCTGCCGTATGTGATCAATGTGTTGCGGGCCATCCACAGTCTTGCAAGAGTAAGTTTTCCAATTTTACTACAGCAAAAAGAAACAATAAAAAATGAAAACCTTAAGAACCTATAAGCTTCTTTAAAGTACCCGTAATAAATAATCCAGTATGGATCCAGCTTACCAATCTGTTGATGATAACAATTCCTGGCAGTGAGCTATTTCATTGGATATAGTCTCCAAACTCTGCTTACAAGTGGTTGGCCGGTTCACCTTTTCGATTTCCAGTTTAGATAGTGAGTGGACCAACTTTGCTTCTTCAGATTGAGTAGCAAGTGCTTTAAAGTTTTCTTCCTCCAACGATATTCTGTGAGCCGTTTGCACCTCAGAACGTTCTTGATCATTAGCAGGTACACACACAGTGAAAGATAGATGACAAGACTGGCTACATGGCATACCACTTGAAGAAATAATACCCGGAAAGTGTGCAACCGTAATCTTTACAGGGCAAGACTCTAAAGAATGCACTTTATCGGAAAACTTAAGGTCAGTCAACCAGGCTTGGGAAAACCCAAATTTCTTCGGTGAAAGTGGTCTCCAAATAAGATCACCCCCAGCATTATATTCAGATTCAACAGTTACTGTAGATGAGCTTACACCTTCAACAGCTTCGCTGAAATATAAAATGAGAGGGAATGTTCTTGCCTTAGACTGAAAATGTAGCATAGGCCATGATTGTTGGCTGTTTAAGTAACCATCAATCGATAAACAGAGAGTAGATCCATTAGGAGGCCAGGAAGAAAGAAACAGAGGCTCCCGCTGCAGTGTTTGCTCGAGAAGCCACAGATGATAAAACCAACCACTTTGGTCATCAGGATCCGTGAAAAGAGCATTGCGTACAAACTCATACTCCTCTCCCAAAACAGTCCCTCTATCATCATATCCCTTTCCTCCTTTTTCGAGTAGATTAGACAAAAGCACACTGCATGTATATTGAGAAAAAAAGTTCAAATAATTTCAATTAAATTACGGTTGACTAACATAAAAGCCACATTCTTCAATTGTTATTATTTGAGCAACGAATGAAATAAGGAAGTTGTTTTACAACAACAATCTCTTCTGTACAAAAGATTGGCTTAAGACACATGATATTTATGAATTAGTCATACCCACCACACGCGTACATCATAACTCAAATATGAATATTGAAACGACAAACTACTAAATACCTTCGATTATGCCAGGCAGAATAGTTACTGAAGTTATCATATATCATATTAGTTGTGTACTGAAGTTCTTCTTCATCTGGAATCTTCTTTAGTGCTGATATAAACCTGGAAGAGCCACCGCAAAAAAAAAAAACAAGTTAACAGATGCAACCATTAGTTTATCCAGTCGACATGAAAATTGCAGAACTTCACCTCCTGTAGTTCCATGCATGGAAGTTTCTAGAATCCAACTTCTGGAACTTGCTCAGAAGCCGTAATTCTCTGTCGGTGGACGAATGACCCTTGCTTAGGATCCATTTACGGTGATGCCATGCTCCATAGGACTTAAAATTCCTCTTCAATGCATTCTCTACCTAAACAGAAAATCACACTCTAACCAGTCCATCAGTTAATATTAACAAATGTCTACTACAAAACACACGGAACACCTAGTCGATGCCCGCATCAATTTCAGTCAACCGAGAAGAGCATAACAAATAAAAAGCAAAATTAACTTACAAGTCTCAGCTCTTCATCGAGAATTGATTGAATTGACTCGGAATCAACTCCGTTCTCCGGCAGGTGATCGAGAAGGTGTTCAACAGCGAGCTTCCGGTAATTCCAACCAGTGTAATGCTCAGGATTTGATTCTAATAGCTTCGCACTGATTTCAATCGCTTCTTTCGTGTATCTGCAACAAACATTGGTGCAAATTAACCCCCGCCAGAAGAAAAGAAAAAAGAAGTAGGTCAACCGAAAAAACCCTAGCTAGATCAGAATAAATACCAAGGAAATAAAATGAAAACATACATTTTATTGCGGTGAAATTGAAGGACTTGAGATTGGAGATCGCGAAGTTTAACGGCTTTATTGGATGAAGCTTCTTGCTCTTCATCAGTAGGGGCTTTCCGCGGCCTCCCGTGCATCTTCTCTCTTAATTCTCAGAATCTTCAATCTGCTGACGTAAGAGTTCACCGGCGGATCGGCACGACGGCGGCGGCGGGGAGGAAGCTAGTTGGATTTTGGTAGAAAAGGGAAGAAGAAACCATAGAAGTAAGAAACACGACTTCGATGTGTGCCAAAGATGGGATCTTTGGAATTAAATCTGAAGAATGAAACGACAACGTTTCAGCTACTGAAAAAAGAGATGGGCTGAAATCATATTGGGCCCGGGTATTAAAGATGAACAAGGCCCAAATAAAATTGACGGACTTAATGAAATGGAGGTTATCCAGCCCACGTGTCATAGAGGACACGTGTCGGCTTCATATTTGTCCATTAATATAGATGGTTTTAGTAGTATAGGTAATAGGTAATTTATAGGAAGAAGGTATATAAAACGAATATAGCCCTTTTATCAACACAAATAGATTTAGATAGAGACTTAACCACAATTCAATGAATATGTAACATAAATTCGGATACAAAACAAGGCCTATATACACAAATTTTTTTTTCTAAATCAACACAATGTTTTCCAAAAAATACAATAAAAGGGTCAAATAAATATCGTACGTACACACTGGTTTATGAGATGCTACACCCAGTGAAAAATAATGAACAATTTTGCACCATAAATCTATAGAAATAATTACCCACTGATCAGATCAATGGTGTAGAATCATCGAGTGTATTACACCAGATGTAGCATCTACAAAAAAACCCGTGCACATAACACACCCCTGTTTTCATCTTTGTTCCCCTGCAAAAACCATCCTCCCCTGTTTTCACCAGCTGCAGTTTACAGGGTTTTGTTTTTGTCTATCTTCTCTCACTCCTCAATTTCGCATGTTTCTCTCTCCTCAGTCTAAAAAACCAAAAATAGAATCAAGAAAACAAAATGTAGTAAAAACAGGAAAAAGCAGAGCAGAGCTAAACCTAGTATTCAGGACACCTTTGTCTTATCTCCAAACTTCAATGTCTTGTTCCCCTCTCTCTCTTCTTCTTCTTCATACTTTTCAACCCAAAAGGTCAAAACCCTAATCACAGCAGTTGACCATTTGATCTTCTCCGCCATTGATTTTTCCCTAAACCCTCCGATCTAAAAAAAAAAGATGGAAAAAACAGAGCTTTCAATTCCACCCATCAATCTCGAAGTGGACGAAGAAGTAACCAAAGTATACGAAAACCAATGCCTGATAGGAAAGATCCTCCTCCCCTGGTCTGTAGACCAAACCCTAGTTCAATCCTTCACACACACAAACTGGAATTGCAGATTGGGGCTAACCGTCACTAAAATCGGCCGCAACATGTTCATGTTCGTTTTCCAGGACCAAAAAGATTTAACCAACGTCGTAAAAAACACACCTTGGACAATCATGGGCACCGGTCTCATGATCCTGTCGACTTGCTCTTCAGGTGAAGTCACGCGCGAGTTGGAGTTCTCGTACTCGCCGTTTTGGGTTCAAGCCCACGGCCTACCGTTGAACTACTTGACCCGGCGAAACGGGTCGAATGTCGGTTCCATTTTGGGGACTTTTATCCGCTCCGATTGGCACGTGTCTTGTGTCAAGATTTCTGACAAGGGATATCTCAGATTGAGAGTGAGCTTGGATGTTCGAAAGCCGATACTGACTGGGTTTTGGCTGAACCGACCCGGGTCGTTGACCCGGGTTTGGGTCGATTTCAAGTATGAGAATTTGGGGTTGTTTTGTTATCAGTGTGGTAGAATGGGTGATAGTTTTAGGACTTGTAAGTTTCCGCCTGGCCCCGAGAAGTTCGGTTCTTGGTTACGTGCCGATTTACGGGATTGTTGCTCAAGTAATATCTCTCGTCCCGTTTCTAGAGCAAGATCAAGAATCATGGTTACATCAGTTGATCAAGATGAACGCACGAGTTTGCTCGCAGTAGTGCCTAGAAACCCGGAGCCGAATATTCTTGATCAATCCTCGGATCTTGGTGTACGCTGCTCGATCGGTTTCTAACTATTTGTGGATAATTTTTAAATTTAAAAAACATGATATATTTTGTGTTTAATTCTACTTATTATGTTTCTGTCTACATTTTCTCATGAAGGATGCATCTTCTCAGCAAAGTATACATTTTGAGCAAGATGAAACTGAGACGACTACTTCGACAAGGTTATCATTCTCTACAACGTAGATCTTCGATTTGATTCATTGGTTATCGATCAAATTCACATAATATTAATCTTTAAGCTTTTTTGTTTTTGTTTGTTTTCCGGGACAGAAATCTGTGGCAAAGGCTGATTTTGAACGGTGTAGATTTGATGATCATGTTAAGGAACCGGGAGATCGTATTATCGCGCGTGACGAACTTAGATGGGGGCGAAGGAATTTGGACACTGCTTATCTTGATGGTTGTTTATCTCTTCCATTTGTACCACAAGTTCTCTCGTGTAAAACGTGGTGTACGGTTCCTCGGAGCACGAAATGGGCCCACCCCTTCCGATGATGACGATGATGATGATCGTGATGGCAATGCAATCGGAGAGATAATAGTTTCGATCGTATTTCTCGTCTTGCTGTACTTCTTCTGATATATATAAGGTGGGAAAATTAAACATATTAACTTTTTGTCAGTGGCATTTAAGAAAAATTAACCTAGTTTTTGTAATGGTTGCATGTATTAAGAATTCATGTTAGTTCATTTAAGTGAATCTTTGTCTTATATTTTTATTTTACAATATTTTGTTTGCCCTTATTACCCTTAGAGAAGTCATTAATTACGTACACATATTCATTTTAGTCTTTGAAAAAAAGTTAGAAAAAAGAGATTCAAAAATTTGAGTGGTGTGTGGGTGGTGTAGCGTAAAAATAGGGAATATACCGGCGAAGATTCCAACATGCTGCGGTATCTCCGCCCTGTATATATACCCACAAACCTCCCCTAATTCTCCCTCCACCGCCAAAAAGAAAATTTAAAACAAAGGATCTAAGGAAGGAAGGAAAAAATGTCGACGGAAGAGAACAATAACTTGAAGGTGCTGAACGCCCTCGATGTGGCGAAGACGCAGTGGTACCATTTCACGGCGATCATCATCGCCGGAATGGGGTTCTTCACCGACGCATACGACCTCTTCTGCATCTCCCTCGTCACCAAGATGCTCGGCCGAATCTACTACCACGTAGACGGCTCCCCGAAGCCTGGAACCCTCCCGCCGCAGGTCTCTGCCGCCGTCAACGGCGTCGCCCTCTGCGGAACCCTCGCCGGCCAGCTCTTCTTTGGGTGGCTCGGGGACAAGATGGGCCGGAAGAAAGTCTACGGCGTCACCCTTCTCCTCATGTGCCTATGCTCCGTCGCGTCGGGCCTTTCCTTCGGGAGCGACGCTAAATCCGTCATGGCCACGTTATGCTTCTTCAGGTTCTGGCTCGGGTTCGGCATCGGCGGCGACTATCCGCTCTCCGCCACCATCATGTCGGAATACGCTAACAAGAAGACTCGCGGCGCGTTTATAGCGGCGGTGTTCTCCATGCAGGGGTTTGGGATTCTAGCTGGCGGGATCTTCGCCATGATTCTCTCCGCAGCTTTCGAGGCCAGGTTCAACCCTCCGCCATACGAGGTCGACCCCATAGCTTCGACGCCGCCGCAGGCGGACTATCTCTGGAGAATCATCCTCATGGTTGGCGCGATTCCGGCGATGCTCACATTCTACTGGCGGCTGAAGATGCCGGAAACCGCCCGCTACACCGCCTTGGTCGCCAAAAACGCTCAACAGGCTGCGAACGACATGTCGAAAGTTCTCAACGTCGAAATCGAAGCGGAGCAACAAAAGGTGGAGCAAATAGCCGCCCAGAAAAAGGTCTCGTACGGCCTGTTCTCAAAGGAGTTCCTCCGCCGCCACGGGCTGCACTTACTCGGAACCACCAGCACATGGTTCTTGCTCGACATCGCTTTCTACAGCCAGAACCTCTTCCAGAAAGACATCTTCACCGCCATCGGCTGGATTCCTCCGGCGAAAACCATGAACGCGATCCAAGAAGTCTACACCATCGCCAGAGCCCAAACCCTAATAGCCCTGTGCAGCACAGTCCCCGGCTACTGGTTCACCGTCGCTTTAATCGACGTCATCGGAAGATTCGCCATTCAGTTGATCGGATTCTTCTTCATGACAGTGTTCATGTTCGCCTTGGCCTTCCCGTACCACCACTGGACCAAACCGGAGAACCGAATCGGGTTCGTGGTGATGTACTCCCTGACTTTCTTCTTCGCCAACTTCGGACCCAACGCAACGACGTTCGTGGTTCCGGCGGAGATATTTCCGGCGAGGCTCCGGTCAACCTGCCACGGAATATCAGCTGCCTCCGGTAAAATGGGAGCCATGATCGGGGCGTTCGGGTTCTTGTACTTGGCCCAGAATCAAGACCCGACGAAGGCGGATGCTGGTTACCCGGCCGGAATCGGGGTCCAGAATTCGCTGATCGTGTTGGGGGTGGTCAATCTTTTGGGGTTGATGTTCACTTTCTTGGTGCCGGAATCGAAAGGGAAGTCTCTGGAGGAAATGTCCGGCGAAAATGAAGACATGAACGATGAAGAAAGTAGCAGAAGAACAACTCCGGCGGTGTAATAACTACTCAAAAATAGAGTTTCTATGAGCAAATGTAGAATTAATTGCAGGTATATATGTAATTGTAATATTTGAATGAGGAAATAGTTTTTTTATTTACTATACGTCATGAAAATTAGTTTTTGTATTGTGTAACATGTAATTTGACATATATGATGGAAGACTGAAGTTTACAAAGGCAATTAATTTATATTTTATATGTTTAGTCTCCATATAATAATTGATTAATTTCAAATAAAAAATGATGAAAAATAGTATTTTGTATTTCAATGCATAAATAAACAATTTAATTATCCAATTTTGACCATGTATTAATGTCTATTGAATTTTTTTTTTTTTGTATGACCATCAATCCTCTTTTATGACATTATTTCTCACTAATTAATTGGAGTTGAATGGTAATAAAAAAAAAATAGAAATAATTTATTTTACTAATATTGTTCTTAAATTTATTATCAAGATTCAAAAAAAAAAAAAAAAAAAAAAAGAAGAAAAGAAGAAAATATCTCAATTGCCAGGTCAGCATTTGGTGGGTCAAAGTTGCCCTTTTATCTGTATTGCCGGTCCAAAGGGAGTCGACAGATGAAAAATTAGGGATTTCCTCAAAAACGTCGCCGTCTTTGATCCCCTATTACACTTGTTGATCGCAAAAAAAGAGGAAAACGCAGCGAACACGATTGATCACAGTGCTTCAGCCTTGAATCTTCGATATTTAAAACATGGATTCTGAAGGTAAACAACCCTCCGTGTCAATTTCCCCGAATTTTATACATTTTATTTTTTCGAAACTTTTAATTTTATATTTTTGGGGGAACAATTTCCACAAATAATTTTAGGTCTACGAACTGCTTCAAACCCTTCTGCAGTGCTGGCTTCCCTCTTGTGCAAAAGGGCCAAAATTCATGAAGAACTCCGTAATATCGAAAAACAGGTGATAAAAGAAAGAACCAAAAAAAAAAAACTGTTTTTTTCTCTTGCCAAGATTTGTAATGTAATGTTTCTTGAAATTATTATTATTAATTTTTTTTTTATTGCAGGTGTATGATATGGAAACAAGTTATTTACAGGATCCAAGCCAATGTGGCAATGTCTTGAAAGGTTTTGAAGGGTTCTTGTCTTCCTCAAAGAACACTACACTGTAAATGATCCCTTTCTTTAGTTGGTTCCCCTATTTCTCGTTTGCTTCGTTTGCCGATCAATTTAATTAACTACGGGTTTCGGTAGAGTGATTAGTTTCGACATTTCATGTTAATTTGGGACCACCGAACCATTGTTGCGGAATACTGTATCGGCTCCATTTTCACTACTTTTTTGTTTCGAGTATTTATTCATATTTGTCAATTGATATGATCCAAGAATGATTTGGTTTGTGTTGATTGCAGCTTGAAAAGATCGAGGAAGTTTCAGGCTGAAGACAGGCTCTTCTCGTTATCTTCCGTCACTTCACCAGCTGTACGATTTTATACTTTACCTTGCACTTTATATTATCTATATCCGTATGCTGCAATCCCGCCTTGCGTTTTTCTTGTTTCCAATATTTGCCTTTCCTGCATACTGTAATGCTGATGTACAATGGAACGTGTAATGCTGTTACATTAGTGGATGTTATTGCTTTGTAAACTTGGAGAATTTGTGATTTTATTTGATTTAATTTATCCTTTGTATATCAATCAGGCTGAAGAAGTTGCAAGAGATGGCGGTGTATCAGCAAATGGACCGTAAGTATTCAAAATTTCAAATTCGATAACTTGTTATCATATATCTTAAGAAACGAAGGGTGAACATATATATATATTTGCAGTGGGAAGCCAAAGAAAGGTAGAGGACCAAGAGAGGCAAAGAGAAGGCAATCGAGCGAGGTTGACTTTGACTATGAAGATGATCCTGATATGATGTAATCGTCACTAATAATTATATAAACGAAGATGAAGGCCGAGTTTATTATTGCTTCTTCTTCTTATTTCGCCTGCTCGTTTACATATTTTCTCCCCTCAAGTTAACCATCACCTAGTATATATACAGTTAATCAGTTATATGAAATGTAGTATTAAGTCTTAACAGCCAGAGAAACAATGGCAGACGAACTTTAAGGATATGGCATTTCGATGCGCTAACTGAGATCTTGCAAATTTGAGTCATTTTCTATTGGGCTTTTGCAATCGAACGGACTTTTGTAGTGTAACCTGCGAGCTGCTGCTGCTGCTTCTGCCGTTGTATAAAAGGACGGACACAAATTTATGTTAGGGTGCGTGTGTGTTTCTGTCTAACTAATGTAATTTAATGTTCGGTGAATTCGCAAATTTTGTTAATTTACCTAATTAATTCATGCAAGAAAATAACTAGGCAGAATTACGTAACTTGTTGAATGTAAATATTAATTGTATGCCAGGGTAAATTGCGGAATGGCCCAAAAATTGCACTTGAAATGGGCCTCGAATGGCCAATTTTGTGCCCCAACAATTGTGTAATGGGTCTGAAATGGGCCATTTTCTGGACCGGTTATTTTCGTAATGGCCCAAAAAATTGACCTGAATGGGCCCCCGGAATGTACCGGCTTAATTGCAGTGTGTGTATATTTTAGTAGTGTTTGTATATTTTTTAGTGTGTGTTTTCGGTGTAGTGTGTGTATATTTTTTAGTGTATGTATTTCGTGTAGTGTGTGTAATGTTTCCGCGTGTGTTTTCGATGTAGTGAGTGTGTTTTCGGTATAGTGTGTGTTTTCGGTGTAGTGTGCGTATATTTTTTAGTGTGTGTCTTCGATATAGTGTGTGTAATTTTTAGTGTGTATTTTCGGTGTAGTGTGTGATCGTGAAATAATTTTTTGGACGTTCCACTATTTTTACTCAAAATCTGTTTATAATAGTATATATTTTTTGGTGATTTTTATCGTGAAAAAGTTTTGTGGACGTTCCACCAATTTTACTCAAAATCTGTGTACTAAGTCTGTAATGTACAATTTTAGATAATTTTGATCGTGAAAAAGTTTTTTGGACGTTCCACCAATTTTACCCAATATATTTGTACTATAGCGTATAGTTTTTCGTGATTTTGACCGTGAAAAGGTTTTGGGACGTTTCACAAATTTTACGTAAAATCTGTGTACTATATAGTATACAGTTTTTGGTGGTTTTGATTGTGAATTTTTTTTTTTTGGACGATCTTATAAAAAAACTGTGTACTATGTATGGTATACAGTTTTTGTGATTTTGATAATGAATTTTTTTTTGGGACGTTCCACCAAATTTACCCAAAATTTATGTACTATATAATATACAGTTTTTTGTGATTTTGATCGTGAAAACTTGGGACGTTCCATTAATTTTATTCAAAATCTGTGTACTGTGACAATATAAATTTTTATATCGTGAAAAAGTTTTTGTGACGTTCCACCAACTAAAATTTGTATACAAATAGTATACAGTTTTTGGTATTTTTTGGGGCTGGCTTAATTGCAAGAGTGCCCCAAATATTGCACCTGAAATGGGCCTTTTTTGCCTCGTTTAGTGGGCTAGCAAAAGGTCTGGATAATACTCGAATTTTTTTTACTATAATTTTTTGATAAATACCTAATAATTTATTGTATTTATATAACTTTTATTTAATTTATTTTTTTATTTGAGACTCTTCTTTAATAATAATTTTGTATTAAAAAAAAAATTAAAATTAATTTAGAAAGTAAAAAAGGAATATTCTGGTTTGTCTGAGCTGCCGTTTCAGAATCCCGACACTGCCGGCGGACCGTAGTTCATACCCTTGCAAGCTCCTACTCTTATCCATGAATCTTTTGGTCTCTATCTAAATTCCCTTTTTTTCTTTACTAGATTTTCTTTCCAAATACACGCGCGCGCGCGCACATATATATGTATATATATTTTCGTGTGTTTGTGTGCGTTTTCGTGTGTGTGAAAAGTGTGATTTTTATCTCATAACTAATTCTTCAACTCATTTTATTCATATATTTCTGTTCTTCTTCATTGTTTTGGTGCTTCGGTTACTCCAGGAAATTTTTAAGATGCAAAAGAAAAAACCCGATGACATGCCGCCGCCGCCGCCGCCGCCCGTGTACTGGATTGAGACTTCAGATTCGATGTCTCACCACTTTCAGTTCGAATCCGATGGTCATCTTTCTGTAAGCGCACATTTCACTTTATTTACGTTTACCGCCTCGGTCAAGCATTTAAACAAACAGTTGATGTGCCCTATGTATTAGGCTTTTGCTCAACTAAAAAAAATGTTGTACCGATATGATTAATTCCCTCAATGGTCACTGTGGTTTTCATTCTATTCGGAAAATGTTTTTGTCCTATTTCCGTCGTTGTGATAGGCTCAATTTAGATGTTTTACGGGTTTTTTGGGGGAATGCAAATGCTTGTATGATTCATTTGTGTGATGGGTGATTTCTTAGCAACATCTTCAATTGGGGCTAATTGCATTAAAGGATAAACAGAAAAAATGTGGGTAATCGATGCACACTTAATTTATATTGTGTTGCTTGACGCAACGTTTGATGCTGAAGATGCTAGAGTTTATACTTGCCAATTTAACATATCTTGATTATTTATTTTTTAATAATTTAATTCAGGTGACGTTGGTCGATGATTCAAGACCTGCCTCTCGTAGGATAGTCGAATCCTTTCTAAATAAGTTCTTTCCATCGGGTTATCCGTATAGGTAACTGCCTTTTCTTGAATCTCTACAGAACAAGTTGTGTCCAACAACAGACGTTATTTATAGTTTTGAATTATGTCTCCTACATCTATACAGTGTGAACGAGGGATATCTCAGATACACACAGTTCCGAGCATTGCAACATTTCTCGAGTGCAACATTATCAGTATTATCAACTCAGGTCTTCTTCTGAGATTAATTTTTCTTTTTGTATAATTTTTCATGACAGATCGAGATGTTTTTGAAATGCTCTTAACGATCGAGATATTTTTGAGTTGCTTACTCCCTTTCAGTCACTTCTATTTGCTGCAGGTTTGAGACCTACACCTGCACAGGCTACTGCTGTTAGTTGGGTAAAGATTTATTAATCGAAAAGTTCCAGAAGTCTCTTCTGTTATGGGTCATTTATGTTGTGTTAATTACATTACAGATATTAAAAGACGGCATGCAGCATGTCGGAAAGCTCATATGTAGCAACTTAGGTGCAAGAATGGACTCGGAACCTAAAAGTTGGAGGCTTTTGGGTCTGTCATTTTGCATTCATTCCCTAATCTCCTGATTTTATTTTCTAATTATTTACTCTCGGATTAATAATACGGTTGGTTTTAGTTACGCAATCTTGTTTTGCCTATGTTTCTTATCTTGCTATGGGATGGTTGAAGGAATGAATGTTCGAACTTGCAGCTGATGTTCTTTACGACTTTGGTACCGGTCTGGAAGTAATTTCACCTCTATGTCCACACTTATTTCTTGAAATGGCTGGGCTTGGCAATTTCGCTAAGGTGAGATGATTATTTGCTTGTGGATTTATCTAATTAGGCGGGCAAAAATACAGTTTTTGTCATATGCTATCTGTATATATAGGATAATGGTCGAGACATGTTGAGATAAACTTGTTATTTTGGCAGGGAATGGCAGTTGTTGCAGCAAGAGCAACAAGATTGCCCATATATTCTTCGTTCGCCAAAGAGGGAAATCTGAGTGACCTTTTTGCAAAAGGTGAAGCCATTTCTACTCTGTTTAATGTTCTCGGAATAGGAGCAGGAATTCAGTTAGCATCTACCGTTTGTTCATCTACACAGGGAAAGGTACTTTTATGAATACATGTTACTCTAACTTACATCTCCAACTTTAGGATTGATATATATTCACACGAGTTCTTCGATGGCACCTTCTTTTTTGCACTCTAGAAATTCACATTAGTCCCGCTATTTTTGGGCATTCACTCCTGATGTCGCACCATAATATTATATATCTGAAAGATAGTGCGTAAAGTTGGATTTTATTCTTTAATTTCAATGTAATTTCGTTCAAGAGGAAGAATTGCATGGTGATCATGGTATATATATATATATATATATATATATATATATATATATATATATATAGAGAGAGAGAGAGAGAGAGAGAGAGAGAGAGAGAGAGAGAGAGAGATTCTGATGAAGCTGAGATGTCACAGTTGGTGGTTGGGCCGCTCCTATCATTGATGCATGTGTATTGCGTGAGGGAAGAGATGCGAGCGACTCCAGTCAACACTCTAAACCCACAGAGAACTGCACTAATTGTTGCAGAATTTTTGAAGGTTTGTGTATAAAAGTATATAACCTAATAATCAACGTTTTAAATATCTGGTTTATTAATATCTCCACTAAAACCACTCTTCGTTAATATTTAACCAGAGTGGTAGAATATCCAGTCCGGCCGATCTAAGATATCAAGAAGATATCTTATTCCCGGGACGACTAATAGAAGAAGCTGGAAGTGTCAAAGTGGGAAGGCCTTTACACAAAGTCTGCAAACCCTCCGAGCTACAAAAAGTGAAGGAAAAATTTCCGGACGAAAAATTCATTTTAAACCGTGGGAGAAAATGCACCGACATGGTACTGGAGCGTAGCGCTACTGGAGAAGATGCTCTGAGGGGGTGGCTGGTCGCTGCATATGCTGCTGAGGTGGCGAAGTCGTTTCATGTGCCTAGTGAAAATGCGTTGGAGGAGGGTTATAGTAGGATGAGTGATGTGTTTTTTCCATTTATATCCGAGCTGCAAGCTAAAGGATGGCATACCGATCGTTTTCTTGATGGAACTGGTTGTCGTTTTGCTTTGTAGTTTAATGTCGAATTTGGTAGACCCTCCCTTTTTTCCTTTTTTTTTAAAGATATTTGGATTTCTCTTGTAATGGAAAGCTGGAAAATTTCCCTGTAATTTTGCCAGACAGTGAATCGATTAATCAGAATCTCTTACAAATAGATGGTGTCTGAAATTAGTCTGAAACTCGATATTTTCAAATATCATTTTTATTTAGACATAAATAACATGTAAACTATTATTAATAATCAGAGACAAGAATGCTGTAGGAAATTGTTTCCATTACCCTTCCATCTTTTCAGAAAATGTAAGTTGGGCCCAAAAATAGAAAATTGATTTTTTGACGGCCCAATTATTTAAACCAAAAGCTGGTTTTAATCCAATAACGTATAGAGGGACTTCAACATGTCCAATCTCAACCACTGAGGACATATTTGGAATTTATTATTTTTATTTTACATATATTTATTTAAATAGTTTAATTTGAATAAAATTTTCGGAAAAGAAATAATCAACAAATATAAATTTATTCTGGAGACATGCAAAAAACAAAAATTGAAAATATTTTACTATACTGTGTATATCATATATGTACTATCTCCAAAAAAGAAAAAAAAAATGAAGGTACTTGAGTTGGACCTTAGGCTTAAAAAGTTGTACCATAAGATCACTAATACAAATAGCACAACTCCTCAGATGTAGTTGGCCAAGTGTATCAGCCAGCATGCAAAGGTGTTAGCAAACCAACCATCCATTTCACCACGTATATATATTCAGCCATGCATCCCCTTTTGTTTTTTCCTACACACCAAACTCATTGCTAGGTGTCTCTTCACTACTAACAATCCCCATGCAGAATACATACACTCTTACTCCTATATAATGCACCCTCCTCTAACTCATTTTTCCTCACTTCTTCTCCACAGTGTGTTTCAAACATATAACAATGGCCGCCTCTTATAAGTTTCTTCTAGCACTCTCTCTCTCCCTCCTAGTCTCGTCCGCTTTCGCCGTAAGGCAGCAATCCCTCCGCCTCAGCGACCAGCAGCAGTGCCGCTTCCAACGCCTCACCGCCGCCCAGCCCACTCAGAGGATCGAATCCGAAGGCGGCACCACCGAGCTCTGGGACGAAAACCACCACCAGTTCCAATGCGCCGGCGTTGTTGCCATGAGAAACGTCCTCAAGGCTAACGCCCTCTCCTTGCCCAATTACCACCCTGCCCCTCGCCTTGTTTTCATCGAAAATGGTACTTACACATATACATACACACATACATAAACATATACATACATACATATATATATACGTATATTTGAATGTTTGAAAATATTGCTGCAGGTCAGGGTTTCATAGGGATCAGCTTCCCAGGGTGTGCAGAAACATACCATGCATACAAGAGCCAATACACACGTGAGAGCACAGAAGCTTGGGAGCAGAAACAAAAGGGAAGCGTGAGGGATTTGCACCAGAAAGTCCACCGCGTTCGTAGAGGCGACATCATCGCTATTCCGGCTGGTGCCGCCCACTGGTTCTACAACGATGGAAGCGAAGAAGTAGTTGCCATCTCCATCAACGACCTCAACCACCAATCCAACCAGCTCGACCAAAAATTCAGAGTAAAATCAAATTTCAACACAATATATAGATACACATATATTTTGCCACTTAATCTGATGATATTTGTTGTTGTATGTTTGGGGGTTAGGCATTTTACCTGGCGGGTGGAGTACCCAAAAGCGGGCAGCACGAGCAGTCGAGGGAGACATTCCAGAACATTTTCCAGGCTTTCGACTCGAACTTGATGGCTGAGGCGTTCAATGTGCCGGAGGAGATTGTGAGGAAGATGCAAACAGAGCAACAGGAGAGAGGGCTCAGCGTTATCGTTCGAGAACGAATGAGCTTCATTAGGCCAGAAGAAGAACAAGAACAAGAACGAGAACGAGAAGGAAGACGATCGGAGGATGACAATGGCTTGGAAGAAAGCTTCTGCGCCATGAAAATCAGCACCAACACTGAAAACAGGAGAGAAGCTGATATCTACTCCAGAGAAGCCGGAAAAGTACACCTCATCGACAGCCACAAGCTCCCCATTTTGAAGTACATGGATATGAGCGCAGAAAGAGGAAACCTTTACCCGGTATGTGTGTGTTATTTTTCATTCACGCATTAAAACAAACACCTTCCGTGCACTCCGACTGAGAATATTTATTATGTGCGTGTAATTTTCCATTCACGCATTAAAACAAACACCTTCCGTGCATTTCGACTGAAAATATTTCTTTTGTAATGCCACGCAGAATGCTTTGTTGAGCCCGGACTGGGCGATGCTGGGCCACACGATCGTGTACGTGACGAAAGGCGATGCCCAGGTCCAAGTGGTGGACCACAGCGGTCAATCCCTGATGAACGATAGGGTGAACAAAGGTGACATGTTTGTGGTGCCGCAGTACTACACCTCCACCGCACGCGCCGGAGAGAACGGGTTCGAGTGGGTGGCGTTCAAGACCACCGGGTGGCCGATGCGAAACCCGCTGGCCGGATACACGTCGGTGCTGAGAGCGATGCCGATTCAGGTTCTGACGAATGCTTACCAGATATCGCCGAACCAGGCCCAGAGCTTGAAGATGAACAGGGGTAGCCAGAGTTTCTTGCTGTCCCCCGGCGGGAAACAGTTTTAGATGTGTTTGTTTGCAACTACGTTATGTAAAATTTTGGGTAAGAAAAACCTTTGTTTTTCATGGTTGATGTCGAGCAAACCTGCAGATATGTGTCTGTCTGTACTCATTTCAATAATATTCTAATAAGAGTAATAAGAGCCGGCCGGCGTCGACGCTTTTTTTGTTCCTTTCTTTAATTCTGCTCTCTTTATTTATTTATTTTTATTATTATTTCCAACACCAAAAATTACAACAATTAAAATTTAGAAAAATGCGGTTTACATCCCTTAAGTTTGAATCGATTATACATTCTTCAATTATTTATGTTTTAAAAATTCAACATTTTTAGTCATTTCCATCAATTTTATGTTAAAACTAACGGAATTAAACATGTTCCCATCACTATGGACTAAGGGTAAATTGACGAAAATGACCGAAATTGTCAAATGATTGAAACACGAGGGATTAAATATGTTTTTTCATAAATATAAGAGACCAAATGTGAAATCATTGCAAACTTGAGGGATGAAAACAATAAATTTTCCATTAACATTTGTATTTAAGTGATAATAAAATTTATAGTGACTTATATTATAGACTTGGTAACTAGTAATTTTTTATTTATTTAGTGTGACATTCTCTTTTCGTTCACTATTGATAATTTGATATTGATATGATATGATAGTCATTGCTCAAAAGGCCAATAAGCCTATATATATATATATATATATATATATATATATATATATATATATATATATATATATATATATATATATATATATATATATATATATGATTTAGAGGCTGCTAAGTGATTTAAGCTAAGCCTATTTAGATTCATTTGAAGTTACAAGTGAATAAGAGTTTACTAGACTCCTTCCTTAAATCCTATTCACACATAAATGAATGAATTCATCATCGATCAAATATAATATATCTGACTTGAGTTTCAAAGTATAATCATCAAGAATTTCGATCAAATATAATATATCTGACTTGAGTTTCGAAGTATAATCATCTAGAATTTTGTGACGTGTCACATAAGTGTATTTTGTACATACTATTTCTTATTGTAATCTAAGAAAAGCTAAAGACATTTTTTCTTATAGTTAAATCCAAGACATTATTTATTTATATTTTTTTAGTAACATATTTATGCGACTACTATTTTACATTTAATTATTAAAAACGAATTTAAGAAAGTGTAATATAAATACATGTGGTAATATAATCAAGGGTAAAATTCATTGTGCACCCCTATACTATACAAAAGGTATCATTTACCCTCTGAAGTATAGAAAACATCAAACGCCCCCCTGTTTTTTATGGTCAATAGTCAAACTTTTAACGGTGTTAAATTTGAGCGAGAAATGACTCTTTTACCCTGCTTTATGTAAGATATAATCTGTAACTTTGTTAAAATTTATTTTTTTTGGATTGTTAACGATTTTTAGTGTTCATTTAAATTGGAATTTTTTGTCGATTTAGGGGTTTTCAAAGGGTTGAAAAGAACGAAAAAAATCAGGTGGATAATGGTCAAAATTAAGCAACTTATACATAGAGATTTTTTGGGGTATATTCGTAAAAAAATACTCTTAGCAACATCTGATCAAAAGGTTTGACTAACATAATTAGGAAAAAAACTAACGGTAGGGGTGTTTGATGTTTTCAATACATGAGGGGTAAATGATACATTTCACATAGTACGTGGGTGCAAAATGAATTTTACCCTGTAATCAATAATGTATAATGGACTTTTATGGGTTTTGGGCCTTAATGGACTCTCCTCAAAGAGGCCTCTTAGGTTGATAAATTCAACTCAGGCATCATGGACTAATTATCAATTTACTCTATACACATCATTACAATATTACACTACTAAAAATATTAAATAAATGATTTACATTTAATTCGATTATTATTTTATAAAATAATAATCTTTTCTCCTTCCCAGTTCCCACTCGATTATTAGCTCACTTTTATTTATTATAAAAATCTTGTATTTAGAAAAAAACAATATATTTACCTATGTAATGAAACTAAACTAATCGTCCCATTAATTTTGTTCTTAAGTAATTACGAGTGATAAGGACAGAACTGGGAATAATTAATGCATGCATTGAGATTATTATTTGATTAAACAAAGATTTATTTATTAGTAGGTACAAAAAGCTTAAGTTTTATTGAGGTCAACTGAGAAAACAGTCGCCGGAGCCGTATACAGAGATACATACAGAGCCGATTAACCGGCAGTCTCATACATTATTCCATTCATCAAACTCTACATTCAAGCTGAAGCAACCCTTCCTCTGCTGGACCTTCCGCTTCCGCTGAAGAGGAAAGTCTCTCGCCGGGAGAATTTGAGCCTCTCCGCCTCCTCCCTCGAGATCTGGTACGCACTGGCGATGACGTCAGCCGGCAGTCCTCTGATGGCGGATGTGCGTCCGCTGAGGGTGTTGATCATGGCGTTGTCGTTGGTGTTGAACGCCACCCACTCGCATCCCTGCTCTCCGGCCTGCTTCACCACCGCGTAGTTCTGCGGCACCACCACCACCTGCCCCTCCCGGACCTGCCCGTCGAACACCGCCCTCCCCTTGTGGTTCACGATCTGCATCCTCGAATCTCCGCGCGTCACGTAGATTATGCTGTGCGCGTTCGCGTACCAGTGCGGCGACATTATCGCGTTCTGTCAATCAATCAAATCGAATCAAAATCAAATGCCCTAATTTCATCATCATCATCAATTCATCGTCAAATTGGGCATTAATTATGCAGAGCAGCTGTAATCAATTCTTACTCTGTAAAGGACTCCCCTTGCGGCGCTGAGTTGGAGGAACTTGAGAATTGGGAGAGAGTAGCTGTTGACGGTGGAGAATCGCCCGGCGCGTGGGTTGTAGATATCGGCGCGTGAGGCCTTGTCTAGGTTCTCTCTGATCTTCGCGCTGCAAATAGTCTCCTCAATTCCATTATCGCGGCCGCCGTAGTATCCCTCCTCCTCTCTTCGGCCGTACTCCTCTCCTCTAAGCGGTGGCCTGATCACCTGAAGCCCCCTCTGAACTAAGATCAAGTGGCCCCTTTCGTCGTTGTGTCCTTGGAGCTTTCGTGCAGTCTCCTCGTCAACTCCGAATACCTCGGCCAATGTCTCCACATCGAAACCCCTGAAAATGTTGCCGAACTGTTGCTGCTGTTCGCCATGCCTGCTTCCGTGCTCTCTGTAAGGCTGTTGCTCCTGTCCCCTCCCTGGGTTTCCGGCGAGGTAGAACGACTGCAATTTTCAGACAAAAAAAAGAAAACAGTAAGTATTAAGGAAACTGAAAAAAAAAACCTATTTATTAATGGATTAATTATTACTGTTTAATTACCCTTGGATTTTGATCGAGTTGGTTGGCATTGTTAGAATCGTCGTGTAAAACAAGAAGAACAAGCTCCTCTTGACCGTCGTTGTAAGCCCAGTGAGCTGCTCCGGCAGGGATGGCGACAATGTCACCCTGGCGAGATTCTCCAATCTTCTGATGCCTGTCTCTGAAACTCCGGCTTCGGTCCTCCTGAGATTGTTCTCGTGACTGTTGAGACGATTCATAAGTTTCAGGGCATCCCGATATCATAAGCCCGAATATTCCTCTACCTGCACATACATATACATCATGAATTCAAGAATCAAACACATATTTATAGAATGAGAATTGAGGAAAGAGTTACAACCTTTGAGAACGTAGACAAGAACAGGGGAGTTATGATAGACAGGGAGCAAAAGGCCTCTCTGCTGGATTCTGTGGCGGAGAATCGAAACACCGGCGCACTGGAATTCGTCGTTCTTGAAATCCCAGAACTGAGTCTCTCCAGCTTCAGCTCGGATGCTGTAGGAGGGTTCTTGAGCATTGATGTTTCCGATCTGGCACTCGCCCTTTTGCCAGCTGGCGGTTCCGCTTCGGACAGCGAAAGTGGAGCCGAATAGCAGAAGAAGGCTGAGAGCTGAAAGAAAGAGCTTGCCCATGGTGAAGAAAGGCACCTCAGAAAAGTGTGTGTGTGTGTGTGTTTATGGGGAGAATAGGAGATGTATTGCTGTGATGGTGATATGTGGCGAGCCGAGAGCGTTGGTATATATAGAGGGAAGGAGAGGGGTTTGCATGTGACACATAGGTGTGAGGAGTTTGCCATTTTGCAATCTGCATGGCTGCTGTGGCCCTTGTTTGCTTACACCTATGATTTTGTGTTGGGGCAGGTGGCTTATGTTTTTTTTTTGGTTGCCGTCTGTATTTGGGAGATGGTATTCTTCTGGTGAGTTTGGTTGGTATTATTATAGATGATTGAATGTAGGCAGAAATTGAAGTTGGATGCATGATAATGTAATGTTCCAGATTTATATGATTTCCTTTCAATTTTATATATTTCAATTATAAATTGCACATAGTAATAAATTACATATTTGATATGTGTTTTGAAACAATTTTTTTTTGAAATAATAAATCCATATTTGTTTGCAATTTAGTACTAGGTTCAAGAGTGGTTTCATTGCACATTTTTCTAATAGAGATTATTCATTTAGGTAGGGGTGAGTTCGGGACGGGATTTCGGGAATTCGGGATTTTCGGGATCGGGATTTCGGGATTCGGTATAGAAATTTTAAATCCCAATCCCGTCCCAAACTATTAAATCCCGGTTATATCGGTATCCCTAAATATTTCGGGAATCGGGATTGGGATCGGGAAATTCCATATTTTGCCTAAAAACTAAGAAATATTGCATCTTTTTTCCATTAGTATTATTTTATACACTAAACCAACTTAAATATATTATATACATACTATTGTTCTTGTCTTATTTATTTTTACCACAAAACTTGGAACAAATAAAATTTTAAAAATTTAAAAATAAGTTGAAACAATATATTTTATATTGTATTTCTCATCTCCTTTGGTGGCAAATATTTCAAGGACCTATTAAAATATGATTTTAAGGATATTACAATAATAAAATATGATTTTAAGGATAAAATTGTATTTTTCATTTTTAGTCACCCCCTCTTAAATTAATCTCAGGGGGAGGGGTGCTACTAATTTAATGAAATAGTAGCATTTAATAGCGGGCTTTAATTTTAGTAGCGAGTTTGAAAAAGTGTGAATCTTACCAACCAGACATTTATTAGCCCCTATATTTAGTCAGTAGAACCTTAGAGCTGTAAGCGAACGAGCCCTAAGTGATTTTATAGACAATTCATATATAATAACCGATTTTAACAAATTTAATAGAAAATCTAATCTAAGAAACTGAACATGCTACTAACTAAAAAAAATAATTAGTCAGTAGGGAGTTAATCCAATCTCAT